TGCTCAGTTCTTTGGGTTTTACTTCACACTTTCTCCAGAACCTAATGCCACCTCCCTGTGGCTCACCTTAACCAAGTCATTCCTACATCAAACTCTAAATTAGACATACTGCGTGCCTCGCTATGCTGTTATCCACTACTGTGCAATCGCACTTGCTGGAGAGTTGATTTCAAGGAGCTCTGGAGGCCCGTGCGAGATCAAGTGCCTGGAAAACCTGGCAGTCTGGTCCCATTCACCACTGGGTATCATCACTCATATCAGCCCCATGTTGTCACTCAGTGGTAGCAAAGATGTGCTCCCTGCAAGCAAAGGTCCTCGTGCCCAAAGAACGACAGATTTGGTAAATGTAATTTTTCTATACTGTTTTTGCATGCCATGTTCTTGACCCCCGACTTTGCTGTAGATAGTCATGTACACACTGCCAGCAAAGTACAAAATGCCATCAAACTCACGTCAGTGACATTTTAAGTACCTTATAGCGATGTCAGAGATTACATTAACTCCAGTGCCAAATGAATGAGGTTCCTTATTCCTTTCAGTCCCCACTGCCACAGTATCCTGTCTGAAAGACCTATTGATCCTCTGCCTCAACTCCTTCCTTTCTCTTTCCTTTTGGTACAGATTTTTCCTTAGCTTGCAAACCCAGCTGAGCTCCCAAGAGGAAGGGAGGAGAAGCACATGCTGCTGTAATCCTGAAGAGCCATATCCCAGGCAAATACTTACTTGCTTGGTTCCCTGCAGTGAGAAAAGCTTTGCAATCTGCACACACCCACTAGTCCACGTGTCGTGATCCTTCCAGCTTTCCTTGTTCCACCAGGACCCGCCTCGCCCTGCCTCCCTCTCCTCTCCGCTGCAGACAGGCAACTCCTTCCAGCTGTGGTGTTCTCCCAGGAGCAGGCAGCGAGGGATGCCTCCACTCATTCCCAGTGGAAACAACGCCGTTATCATCACCCATGTACAAAACAAACCTCAGAAGAACTTTCATTTTAACCAGAAATTCTCCCCTCAGCAGCCCTGAAACCCTCAGCAGCAGGGTTTGGTAAAGGCCGCAGGTGTGTACAGTCTTAAAGTTAAACAAATTGTGTTTTTGGCAGTGGTAAAACACTAATTTCACTATGCATGAGACTTTGAAAGAGTGCTGCTGGCCTTTGAGCTGATCACACCCATTCAAAGGTGCTGGGGTTCCATGTCTCCATGGGGTTTCAGCAACTCAGCTACCACTCTGCTTCTGCCAAGGGGAAAAGAAATCTGCAGACTTTGCTACGAGATCTTCTCTGCCTGACTGCTGGGAAGCATCCCAATATTTCAGTGCAAAACAAAATGCCTGGGATGCTCATAAAATACCTGCAGCTTATCAGCTTTGCTCTAAATAATAAGTAAGATGGAACTCAATACCTAACAAATATTTGTAACAAGAAAACCATTTATAAAAATTGTTTTAAAAAAAGCTCTTGGTAAGGGTGTAGATAGTCTCCATCAGATGGAGATTTCCATCTAGCTATATGAAATAAGCACTGGTAAAAAAGTGATGCTACATGTTACACCTCTGAAAGCATCAATCTGTGCCTACAGACCAAGGAACTGCATGGTACCTCAGGTTCTGCTAAAATGAATGGCAAAACCTCCCTGCAGACCCCAGGACCTCTCAGCCAGGCCTCTCCCCTACCAAGTCACTTCCAGGCAGTGCAGGCAGACACTCGGTTTGGTTGTGCACCTGCCTGGCTCTCACCTGAAAACTCGTCCCACGCCAGTCTTTGGAATGGTGCCACCGCACCTAACGCAAAACATCTGCATTGCACTGGGTGGTGCTAGCAGAAGAGTTGCAACTCCCCCAGTCACTCCTATTTAATTAATCTTCCTTTCACCAAGCGGAGATGAAGGCTGGTGCATCCAAAGGAACACCATGGAAAGTCAGCGGGATTCAGGCACCTCGCTCCTGGCTGGTCCCTGGAAACAGTATGCCAAAAACCTGAATATAACCTAAGGTGGCTTCTAGCAGCACCTCCTGGGACCTGGGGTCCCTTCTCTGCTGCATGGGAACCAGCATCTCCAGGGAGCAATTTTAGGATTTCCCTCCCCAAGCGTAAGACCTGGGTGATACCTGAGACTCCTTATGTCCTCCTCGAAAGCCCACATAAATCAAGTCAGCATTTCAAAAGCACTCTTGGAGAACCCAAATTGCTCCAGAGGAGGAATGTCCCAGAGACACGTGCAGCCCATGCTGCTCACACATAGGCCACTATTTAAAAAAAGAAACTTCTTGGCTTTGTTTGCTTCTTTCCTTTCACTTATTATACATACTCTGAGCAGACAAACAGATTTTGTACAGCAAGCTGGTGCTGACAGACAACCAGACTGCCTGTTACTCCTCAGCAGAGCATCCTACCTATGTTATGCCTAGTCCCTAGCTTTCCTAGGCTTTCATTTACAAATGCTCGTTTTCACATAGTGAAGGAAAAAGCAGCTCCTTTACTGTGATCAGAATTAATTGTTCATAATAAATATCTGGTCCAGAGAGAGACAGACAGAAGGACTGTATGTTACCAAGACAGACAGACCCATCTTAAAAAAATCTCCTTGTTACAAAAGCAGCACCCAGAATTAGGAGAGCTGAAAGCATTTTAGATAAAACACTTTGGTCATCTGCATTTCAGTCCTCGTTTCATTTCCTGGCTCTGATGTACTGTAAAGCTGCTGCATGAGACTTCCCTTCACTGGGGGAAAAGTCTGATCCTTTTTATCACTATTGCATAAAAGTATTTACTTTCCATCCTAAAGTTTGCTAGCTTGAGGGTAGGGAATAGCAAAGATAGATTCAGAAGACCAGCTGGGTCCTTTACTCCTCCAAAGGAAGTACGGTAACTGTGAAAAAATGAAAATAAAAGTGAGAAGGAAAGGGGGAGGAGGCCCATAAGTAAAATACCTCGGTACTTGCCCCTTCCTGCTCCTTGGTCCTCTGCAGAGCAGATTTGCTGAGCCTTCCTCCACAGAGCTGAGGCTCCACAAACCGTTACTTCTTCCTCTGCCATGACTGCATCCTTTTGTTTTTCCCTCTCCCTCTCCTCCGTCACTCTCCTCCTTTCCCAATTTCTCAGACACTACACCCTAGTGTAAAACCTCCTGCCAGGAGGATGTCAAAAGACCTCACTGGGGATCAGGCAGCCTCCCCCTCTCCTCCCTCACCGGGGCTCACCGGTAACTCAGCCACCTGACCAGCAGGACTCTCCGTGCTGCCAGCATTACTTCTGCTTCACTACAGATTTCCCACAGGACGAAAGCCTCCTGGCGCTACCCCCTATTTTGTGACAAAAATGTAAAAATAATCTAACCACCAACTAGGTCTCTCTGCTTTCTCACCCCATCCCCATGCACAGTTTGGATGAGGTATGATCCAGCTGGTTTACTTGCACCGTGAGGAGAAGACGCACACAGCAGGGTCTGTTGAAGAGACCCCTGACACCTCTCCAGTGGAGCTGAATGCCACCTCCAGCAAAATATTCCCATTTTTGAGCACCACCTCCCATGAGACTGTTGTCCCAACCCCATCTTCGTTATCAGCTCCTTGTCACAGCGTTCAGCCCCCGCCTCCCCAGACGAGGCTCCTTGAGCTCATTCAAACCACGTGCTGCCCGCACGGGACAGAAAGCACCAAAACACATTTCCAGGCCAAAACGCTCCAAGTACAGCAACTCGACACATCACTTTTCTGTGACAGAATAAAAACGCATCTGCCCTGCCACAAGGCTGAATCCAGTCTCAGATACTGAGATAAACAATCCCAGCACAGCCCTCTGCAGGCATGTACCACCACCTGATGCCAAGAAACACACTTTGTTATGCAATTTGCCACCGAGCACTCGGTGGGCCCTCCAGCTATGTCCCCAAAGCTTGGCGTGAAGCCCGTGGCTGCTCCTGTGTGTGCAGACCACCGCTGAGCCACCCACCGACCCCACTGGGCAGGACCCCATGCAATGGCACCTGTGCAGCCCGAGGTGCAAACCCTTCCTCTGCACCAGGCTGAAGAGTTTAATCTGTCCCCGCTTCTACTTCTGTGTCTGTGGGTCTAAAATCGTGAGGAAAATCTATACGCTAGACCTGCTCCTATCATTCATTAAATTAACCATGGAGTTCTCAGCCTTCCCAGCAACTTTGGGTTTCCATCTCCCAAAAGCTGAGCTATTATTAAATTGCGAAGTGGCACAGCAGGGAAAGGAAACACTTGATTTGCCTCTGACCTTCTGCCATCCTGGGGTAGTAAATCGGTTTAATCCAGCAGGACATTTAATATTCTCATTGGGAGATCCTCACATGTAAGCAGTCCCTTTCCACTGCCAAGCACCAGCAATAACCTCTGGTGGTGGTCGGGACTACTAGCAGACCCGAGATTTAGGGATTCAGGATGCACCGATCCTTTCAGAGCTGATGGGGACCAGCACCTGGGGGCAGGGGGAAATCCTGGCAAGTCTGGGAAACCACCACCCTTCCCATCCCCAAGCAACTCCTCTTCAAGAGATCCCGCAAGCACGCCTGGCCATGGCCACCTCCACGGGGTGGTACCACCAAGCCTCGCCCGAGCTCTGTGCCCTTCTCCGTGCCCGCAGAGTACACAGGCACGACTCCTCCACAAGCTGGACGGCTGCTTTCCCGCTCACATGTGGTCAGGCAGAGTACTTTTAAGACACAGATAACCAGGAGTACTGTCAAGAAAAGTTAGGTGCCTCCCTGCCGGCAATGAAGGGCACTTCAAAAGATGCTGCTCCAGCTTCTTCTCAGCGCTGTCCTCCCCAAAGCTGCTAAACTACCTTTGCTTTAAAATTTAAGAGATAGGATAAAAGAAAAAAGTGTCGCAGGAGGAAAAGCCTCCAGTCCCTGTGATAAATAAAAGTTAAATAACAAAAAAATTGAGAAAGAATAACCAAGCAGGCGTATGGAGGTGCGAACCCTGCAGTGACACTTTGCAACGAACCCCTTTCATGCTGACTGGCAGACTGCCTCCTTACCGAAGTAATCGGCCTTCGGCCGAGCATCCATCTCTTGCTCCAGGCGCTGGGTCAGTGCCTCCAGCTTCAGCTCAGCCGCCGATGGCCCTTGCTCCGGCTGCGGAAGGAGGGTCTGGCAGGGCAGCTTCACCTTCGCTGTGCTGGAGCCCTCCAAGTGCTCAGCATCCGACCGTGGGCCACTTGCGCCCTCCAGGAAAGGCGGCTGTGGAGCATCTGGAACCGTCGGCCCACGCGAGGCCAGGCGTGAGGAGCCCAGCTCAGGGCTCGCGCCGCTGCCATTGGGCCGATGGTTTTGACCATGGGCCACGAAGTGGCCGGCTGGGCCGGGGTAGGCGGCAGCGTGCTGGTAGTCCATGCTCGGGGCAGTGGGCACGGAGCTGGAGGGGAAGGACAGCGGGACGCCCTGGTACCACAGTTGGCTGCCGTCCCCTCCGGCGCTGGGACCGCAGGCATCAGCAGGACCCGAAAACCCCCGGGCGGGCTGCACCGAGGGGGCCGAGAAGGAGGAGGACCTCTGCTGCGGCAGGGCCCCCAGCACCCCCTCCTCCGTTCCCGCCAAGGGTGCCAGGGGGGTCAGGGCGGGCGAGA